GTTTTAATTTTAAAATATATCGTTTTATTTAATTAAAATTTAAAAAGTTATTTTATTAAATATTAATATATTAAAATATATAATGATTTTTTAAATTTAGATATCAATATTTAGTAAGATAAAATTTTAATTTTTAGATACAAATTAATTTTTTAATTATTTTTTTGGAATTAAGATTGATATGTATTAATTTTTAAATATTAGATATATTTTGTATATTTTTTAAATATTGAAAGATCAAAAAACTTATTACCGCACAATCCTGTTAACAATCTTAAGCCAAGCCTTAATCTGCTACACTCGTATAGGATGCTGCTTGAAGTCAAAGTCAAATCCTTTACTGCCACCGAAAAGAATATTCTCATGTGGAGCCTTTCAGGCCAGATATCTTATCTCCTCGACGATGCCGTTTCAACCGGGACCACATATTTTATTAGTATAAAATACCCTCACCATCTACTCACCCTTTCTCAAATCTTGATCATAGTTGCAATAATAGAGAGGAACCCCCACCGGAAAATGGACGCCGGCAACACTTCCATGTCGACCCTAGCCTCACAAATATGCAACCAAATAGCCTCCATCTTTGCCAAACCTACCTCCCCCTACCCACCAACCCTAGACCTACTCGTTATAGAGCTCTCTACCATTGCCTCCCAGAAAGGCCGCGTCTTCCTCTATGCCGCCGGCAGAGGGGGCCTCATGCTAAAGGCCCTCTGCATGCGCCTCTTCCACCTGGGCCTCTCCGCTCACTTCGTTTTTGACTTGACCACTCCACCCATCACCTCCAATGATCTCCTGATTGCCTCCTCCGGCTCCGGAGGATCTTCCTCCGTGGAAGCCATATGCTCGTTGGCACGATCCCACGGTGCCAGAGTGCTGCTGCTGACTGCCCAGCCCGAAAAAGGACGCATCGTCAAGCACGCTAATGTTGTGGCTTATGTGCCGGCTCAGACAATGGCTGATGATCAAGCCAACGCCGGAGATGGCAGATCAAGGGCGCTGCTGCCAATGGGGAGTGCGTATGAAGGGGCCTTGTTTGTATTGTTTGAGATGCTTGTTTTCAAGCTAGGCGAGGTTTTGGGAGAGAATCCTGAGGCAGTCCGAGCTCGCCACACTAATCTTGAATGAGAAAATATATATGAGACTGCCAATTTGTATGTGTGGGAGTTATTATTATTATTATTATTGCTTTTTCTTGGTCTCCCAATGCTTGTTTCGTGTTCAATTTCCATAATTTATTCTACATAAAAATGCAGTTTTATTTACATCATGTACAATATATATAATATCCACAAGAATCGGTTCTCTTGATTTAAGTAGATCTAGAAAACACTTTTTCATCTCTTTTGTGAGAGGCAAGGATTTTGTCTCTATTTGATGGGAGTGGGTTTTTTGTGCGATGAGGATTTTGATTTTGCTCGGATTTTGGGGTTTCGTTTGCTTTAGGCGGTTTTCCTGCAGATTCATTGAGTCTTGGCGGCGAGAAGGGGAACATACACAGAGGGATGATGGAGGCGATGACTGGGTTTCTGGTCATGGAAGATTTCGATCTGGTGGTGGAAGTGGTGGGGCTGGAGGAGAAGGCGTGGTGTATTGTAGCTTACCGATCTGTTTTGCTTTGGACGGAGAAGCGGCATGGCTATCTTGCCCTGTCAACGATGGGTGAGGAGGAAGAGGTTTGGTTGGCTTCGGGAGGAATTGGGAATTGTTTTGTCAACGGTGGCTAAGGGGTGGCCGCCGCCGCCAGCGACAGCTTTTTTCCGGTGG